TTTATTTTTTGGCAAACAAACTGAGGTTTACTGTTGAAATTAATACATGGAAGAAAAATTGTGTGAATATTCCTTTAAAACATTTTTTAATAAGCTAATAATTGTATTATTTTTTAGATTAATCTGTTTGTAATATGTATTTTTATCATTTAATTGTTTTATTTAAATTTGATATAAAATGGAATATTTAAAGATGTACATTATACTGTACAAAAGTAATACAAGAGTAATATATTTCTGTTACATGTTAAACCGTACTTTTATTTTGACAGGTTGCAATGAAGTTTCTGTGTGTATACAGTATGATGATGCTAGTTTCCTCAAATGAAACGGTAAAATTCTCATGAAGTGACTCTCACAGCAGCTCTGGAGATTACGTTTTTGTGTTCATGCCGTCATATATAGTGAGACACAGAGGCCGAAAATCACCACGGGCGTCACGCATGCTTCAGTATTTGTGTAGTGAACAAAACCGCATTTCCACCATTCATACATACAGATAGGGCTGCACGATTAATCGAATGTGATTGTCATGCGCATTTTGTTAGTAATGCCGGTTCTGTAATCAGCAGGAAATCATCATCACATGCTTTCAGATGGAGCAGAATTTACTACACATAGCTGTAGTTCGTTGACAAGTTACGCAAAAAAATCGCAGACGATTTTATTGCGCGATTCTGAAATCGAAGAAATCGTTCGCGATAATGACAGCTGTTTGCATAGCTTCTCAGTGCACTACGGCTGTGAAGTAAATGCTGCTCCATCTGAAAGCATGTGAAAATACCACATTTAATAACATATTTTTACTCCAAACTCACTTCATAACGTCAGTCGAGTGTTTGAAATAAATCCGTCTGTGAGATGATGTGGCTTCTTAAACAGAATAAGGCACGCAACAGATTTCATAGTATTTAAGCAGTGATAAAGGCATTGCATTATAAACATACTTTATTTTAATGAAAATTATAATAAGAACTCAGATAAACCGTATATTGACTCGGTAGTACCGACGCAATTCGGTCGGTACCCTTAAAAGTACCGAGTTCGGTACCCAACCCTAGTCTTCATGCTCTGATAACTATGGTTTCACTAATAATAAACATATATTGCATAAAGCATCCTTATTTGTCTGTGCCCATGCTGATTAAAGTATTAAAAACTTGAAAAGTATTAATTTAAGGTACATTTAGAACAGAAAAATGTGCTATTAAGTTGCGATTAATCACGAGTTAACTCATGACCATCATGCGATTAATCACGATTAAACATTTTAATCGATTGACAGCCCTAATTTTAAAATATAATTTATTCTTGTGATCAAAGCGGGATTTTCAGCATCATTACTGCAATGTTCAGTAGCACATGATCCTTCAGAAATCATTTTAATATGCTGATTTGCTGCTCAAGAAAGAGGGTTATGATAGTTAACTAAAATAAAAACAAAATAGAATTAAAACCATTAAAAAAGTCACTTAAAATAAACATTGACAGAAATTAAAATATTTTTTCTTACTTAAAATAAACATTAACTGAAAAATGTATTTTAAAATTCTAAAATATACTTAATGACCAACTAAAATAAAAATTAATTGTATTAATTTTTGCTAAAAATTACAAAAACAAAATTACAACATTTCAATTCAAATGAAAGTGGAAACTATGACAAACTGTTTCAAAATATTAATAAAAACTTTAATAGCATCTCAATTCTTATTATTATTAATGTTAAAAACAGTATTTGTGGAAACCTTGATAAAAAAAATTCAGGATTGTTCTATGAACAGAAAGAGCAAAATAACAGCATGTATTTCAAATAGAAATCTTTTGTAACATTATAAATGTTTTTTACTGTCACTTTTGATCAATTTAATGCATCCTTGCTGAATAAATGTATTAATTTCTTGAAAAAAAAAAATCATACTGATAAAAAAATGTCTATCTACACCCCTAATCAACTGTCTAAATGAAGCAGACTACAACAAAAAGTGTAATCATATAAGATACAAATGAAGAAAGATCAGAGAGGAAATAGATTTGTGTGTAACAACACATCAGAAACCCCCTGAGAAGCAGTCATCTGTCAGAGTAAACCAGGTGACATGACAAAACCATCTGTGTGCAGACTAGAGGGTGACACGGGAGTGGATTTTCAAACCTCTCCCGTCCCACTCCCACAAAAAAAAGCCCGTCCCGTCCCGTCCCGTCCTGTCCCAATCCCACGAAAAAACTAGGGGGAAATCCCATCCCGTCCCAATCCCGGAAGAATGACTCCCATTCCCTCCCACTCCAGTGTTGTTTTTTTGGCCGGAATCTGTCAAGTTACTGTGAAAAAATACAGTACAGATCACAGCATGCCCACTTTAGTTGAATAAAAATCCAAAAAGTATTTTTTTGTTATTTTATTGAACTGAAAGCCAGCTTAAACAATGCACAGTGTACATTGCACACACATTAAATTTAATGTAAATCATCCATGCTAACGCACATGTTTTCTATTTGATTTTTTTTTTCATTTGAAAGTAGACATTTCACTCTCTATAGATATATTTTTCATACACGGAGTTTCGAAGTTTCTCGCTCAAGTTCACATGACCGAGACGGCAGAAAGAGCATCCTGTTTGCTTTAATTATTTTACAGAAGCGCAACGGTTCGTTGTTATTCTGAGTGCACACAAATAAACGTAGAGTTTTTACAGATTTGAAAGATGTATTACTTTTTTCTGTATGACCAAAAATGACGGAGTATTTTAAGAGCAAGTGAGCGCACCGGCGACTCCATCTGTCTTGCTGTCATTCACTTAACCAGCCACACAAAAGCAAAAAGAAGGAGAGCATAAAGAGACAGGCCAACTAGAATTGAGTTCAAAATCAAAATATACAGTTTATAGTTTATTTATATAAAAGTGTATTTGTTTATAAAGTTGGGTATCATAGTGTTATTACGATTCCCGGTCCCGCCCACTCCCGCTGACATTTTTTCCTGTCCCGTCCCAATCACGTGATTAATAGTGATTTTGTTTCCCATCCCGTGGGATTCCCGAAAAAATGTCAGCCTCTAGTGCAGACAGACCGCCGTAGATGCTTTAAATCCTTATACTTCGTTACAAAGGAAGAACAGACAAAAGTAAATATGGTACAAATGTCTGTTTAAGCACATGGCTACATCTTTTGAAATGAGTTTCTATGGCAACCGTCTATTCTGCACAAACTCATTCTTAAAGACCAA